AACTCCTCTAAGTCTAAGGTCATGGTTCTCAATCTGAAAAGAAGTGGAATGCTCCCTCAGGYTCAGTAATGAGTATTTGCCTCAGACATGAGTTCAAGTATCTGTGAAAATTGTTCATGAGCGATGGTAAAATGAAGTGTGAGACTGACAGACAGGGGCCTTGTCCACAGCAGTGGGGGTTATGAAGGTGTTTCTTTGGTCGCTTGTGGTGATGAAAGTGTTGAATCCAAAGGCAAAGCTTTCCATTTACTGGTCTTTTTGTGTTCTAACTCTTGTCTATGGTCATGAGGTCTCATCTACAATTCCTGGTAGAGAGAACAAGACTCCAGTTACAAGCACTTAGCTGCTTTTGCAGGATGGCCAGGCTCAGACTTAGACAAGTTTAGGAGCTCCATCATCCTAAGGGAGCTAGAAGTTAAAACCTTTGCTTTTTCATCCAAACAAGTCATTTGAGGTGGTTGGGGCATCTGATTAGGATGCCTCCCGGATGCTTTCCACTGGATTATATATCCTCTCTGGCCTGAGAGCACCTTGGGATCCTCAAGAAGGCACTGGCAATTGTTGTGAGGGAGAGGGATGTGTACGGTCGCTCTCATAGACCTGTTGCCTCTGTGACCTGACCACAGATAAGTGATGGATAGATGGATGGATGGATTATTGCAGCAAGTTTCCTCAATCAATATTTACTTGAATGTTGTTTTTTTTTTCTTCTGCTTATGGTTGGACCTGCAGTCCCTGCCTATTGAATCTGATCAGCACAGTTTACTTAACTAGTGGTAGACTAATATTTTTACAGGCTTTCAGTTTCATCATGTACAATACTTGACATGTGGCTAATCTATGTTCAACACAAACACTATTAAGTAGTAACAAACTTTGTTAGATTAACAAACCAACCCTAAACTAAACAAACTGCAGCATACAAATGTTTAGAGGTTAATATTAGCTAATGTAGCGTTCATTCACATGGGTATGTGATTTATGAGAAGCTTGGACAGACTTCTTCCTGTTGCTTAATACTCGGTGCTCTATGACTAATGTCACAATTGATAAGGTACTAATTTTTAATAATTATTAGACAGAACATCATTTCAAAAGTATCTAGAACATTTCTTTGAAATTGTATTTTTGTGAAGTTTACATAATGTGTGTGGTGGGGTTATAATTATTATTGTTGTGTGTATGCTTAGTCGGCATTTGCTAAGTTGTTATTTTTTTCAGTTTTTGTACATTTTTGCAATCAATCTAGTTCCTCTATATTAGGGTTGGGCAATATTGGCAAAAAKATWAATCACGATTAATTGTGGTATTTAGCCGATAACGATTAATTTGACGATTAATCCCCTGGAGTCCCTGGACACCCTTATATCCTAGTCGCATGACCAATTTATAGGGAGAAAATTGGCTCTTTGTAAAAATCTGTTCCAAATTGTGTCAAAATGACAGACTTCAGGCTATACATCAAACTTTAAATTGTGTTGATAGATAAATAAATTCCACAATTTTTTAAATGTTGGTCATATTTGAATCAGAGAGGAACACCAAGCGGTTAGTCTGCCAGGTGGCATTAATCGTATTAATTGTTAACTGCCAAAAATTAATCGATTAATGTTTTTCTGATGATTAATTGCACACGATACAATTATGCCCAACCCTACTCTATACTTTGTGTTATTACTTATATATCAAAATGTTCATCTCAACTGGGAATAAGGACTTTTATTATTAGAAACTTTTAAACCTTTCAAATAATTTAATTTTATTTAAAAAATAGTTCTGTATGAAAATACATTGAGTTCAAAACATTGTTCTCYTTGAATTCTGTCTCAGTGTGCTCTATTTTTGTCTATGCTTCTTTTTCATTTAGCTATTGTGTTGTTACTCTTGACATTTAGCTAAGGTTTTGCTACTTTTACGTTTTAATGTTTTATTTTTTTTAGATTTTTGCTACATTGTAGTTACTTGTGGTTACAGTTTTCCTATTTTACCCTTGTCTTTTGCTAAATTTGACCTTTGTTTATTTGAGAATTAGTTTTTGTTTTGCTAATTTTAGCTCCTGTTTTGCTTAATTTAGTATGTTAGCTATAGCTCTGCTTGTTTCAGCATCTGTTCTGCTCGTTTTACCAGGTTTTCACCTTGTTTTAACTTTACCTTCTCAGTTTCAGCTTTGTCAGCAAATTTTAAGTCGTTTTCACAATAATGCAATGTCTTGAATGCATAAACACATTTTTATTTTTATAAGGATCGAAGGTGGTGCAGCATAAGTGCTTTGTAGGTTTTGAACATACTGTAGTATAATGCTTCTTCCTGAGTAATTTCGATTATATAAGGTCCAACTACGCTTTCTGTTTCTGTTTGCATTTCTTGTTTGCATATTGTGTGTTTAGACTGTATTGTGAAAACTATTTTTTTTTGGTCCCAGACTCTTATATCATTAGAAAACCCTGAGCATGTTTGGTCAACTCCCAGCATCTTTTGTGTTTCATTGAGTAGGCAGACAGGTTTGGTTTCATTCTGTAATCTGATTACCCAAAGAACAAACTAATGTGCTTCTTCCTCACTGCTGGACTACTTATGGCAAGTACAAACAAAATGCATGCATATAWGTTTACTTTATCAGCACAGCATCATTAACAACCAAACTCTGGTCATGTAAGCCTCGACACATGGAATTTGCTTTAATTCTTGGTTCAACAGTTGTTGGGTTTCCCATTCATACATTAAGATACAACTGAAGTTATTTTTTCTGTGGTATTTTCTTTGATAATTACTTTGGTAATTACTTCCCTGGAAAACCCCCAGAAGACACACACTTTTATAGACAATATGTTTAATTGAGCAAATTAAAAAGACCCCATGTTGCAAAGCAGCTGTGTACACACACAGTGAATTCTGCAATAGACGACCTCAGAGCTCCAGTGAAGAGGTGCAGTGAGAATTAAAACAAACTGAAACTGATGCCTTCAAACCCAGAGCAGTGGCTTCTAAACACAGATGCACAGAGTTCAAATTTGTGTCAAATAAGTTTGTGTCTCCAGATGATCATCCAGCTGCACATATTTTTGCTCTTTTACTGACAGATGGATTTTGGAGGCAAGTTACAGTTTAGAAATTATTCCAGAGATTTTGGTCACTTGTTCGCAACTATGTTCTGTCAAAGAACACAAAGAAGTACTGAAAAGTCAATTCAGTGATAAGATTTTGAAAAATGCAAATGATTTAGGCTACCTTTTAAAATAATTTTGTTAGAAATGTTTTTGCTTTAAATTAAAACAATTTTTGCCCAAGTAATGTGTGTGTTTTTCTGTAGTTTTATCAAAATATCTCATGCATCGGTGGACACATTTAAGTAAAACTTTCAGAAAGTAATCACTGGGTGACACTTATAACTATGTAATTATTTTTTGAATTCAAAAAATTCAAGATGGCTGCCGTAGCTAATGAAACTTAGCAAACACAAAAATGGCTATCATTCAGCCTGTTTTACTGGAAAAGAGTTAAACATTGGTGTGATAGTAACTTAGTAAGTGAGTAAAATGTATTTATACTGCACCATTAACAGATAAAAATCACAACATACCTCACAGAAACAAAAGTAAACTAAAACAAACTAAAAAAATCACAGATAAAACACAATGACACAAAATAAAATACCAACTTGAGTTAAAAGCTTTTTCTGTACAAATATGTATTAATATGCTTTTTAAGAGTCAGTGCAATGCAAGGACAGGGGGGAGGGGGTGTCCACAGTCTTGGAGAAACTGCCTGAAACGCCCAATCTCCACTAATTTTCWGCCTAGTGTGTGGGACTTCCAACAAAAAAATGAGTATTATTCCCATCACATACTCAGAGTGCTTTATACATTAGATACCAATGCCTTCAAAATCAGTATTTTATCATTCATTATTTGGTAGTTATATACAAATTAATAACTAATTATTAGCAGAGTATAACACTCTGGGCTGACTGCCACCACTTAATTGGAAAAAAATAAATAAAATGTATGATTTTATGATTCAAGTAGTCAAAATTCAAATAATCAATTAATGATTAGAAAATGAGGAGAAGGCAACAAATTCTGTGTTTGGAAAAGCTGTATTATTATACGTAACTAGCTTCTCGAAATTACCTTATGAATTCCATAGGGATGATAAACCACCATCTTGGATCATCTTGGCATCAGGATCCTTGGTGGAGTGTGGAGGAGCACAGTCATGGCTGCAATGGCGGCTTGTCCATGATCCAGGGGCTTACGTGCACAATTGTGGCTTGGTTGTTAAAATTTGATTCAGGTCTTGCCATGCTGTCACTTACTCTGAGCTAAGATGACAATTATGACAAAGAACCTGTGACAGACATGATGACCTGTGGCAGTAATGTGTTGTTCGCATGGCATTCTCTTCAATGCAAAGCTATATCCTGACATGGCTGGGGCAGTGTCTGGGGCATGGTGCTTTTATTGGCATACATGGTATAATTATGAGAACGCAACCCTGAAAAAAGGAAGAAGCGTGTACAGAAAATGGATGGATGGATGGAGGTTATCTCTAACAAGGGCGGCTGTGGTGCAGTGGTAGGACAGTTGTTTTGGGACCAAAAAATCACAGGTTCAATTTCCCTCCATGCCCATGTCCTTGAGCAAGACATCTACTCCCTAACTGCTCTCCAGGGGCTCATATATAGTAGCTGCCCGCTTATCTCACATGTGATGGGTCAAATGCAGAGGGCAAATTTTGTCATTGCCTGGGAACATATACGTTGATGAGACAACATAGCATATTCACTGGCTGCTGACATACAGAACTGTGCTCGAGGACAGGCAAAATCCTATTTCGGAGTTTTAGGATAAGAGCAGCATTAGGATTTTCACACTTAAGGGTTTTTTCCAAAATTGCAACATGTTCTGTTAATTAGAGCAGATCATGGAGAGTGCAGTGGCATCATTGTCCACTGTGATGGAGGCCTAACAGTAAACTTTTTGTGTGTTTTCTCTCATTAGGTCTGGTAGAGATCTGCTTGATGCATCCACTTGATGTAGTAAAAACAAGGTAAGCCCAATCTTTATTCAGATGAAAGAATTATTAATATTTTCTCCAACATTTTCCAAAATTGCAAAAATATTAATTTAATTCAGTTTTAACATAAATCCTGTTGGTGTAGTTTGTGCAACATGGTTCTGAGTATCTAAACAGAGAAGTTAAATAGGTGTTCTGGAAAAGAACATGTCCAGAGGACTTACTTATTTATTTATTTATTTATTTGTTTGTTTGTTTGTTTGTTTGTTTGTTTGTTTGTTTGTTTGTTTGTTTGTTTGTTTGTTTGTTTATTTATTTATTTATAGATCTTTCTGCCTGGCTTTTTGAGATGCATCAGGACAAGGTTCTGAGTATGCTTAGTCAGGCCAGTCAGATCTGCGCTCATCCCACAAAAACAAGCACCACCTTTTAAAACATTGTTAACATTTTATGGAGAAGAAGAACAGACCCAGTGTACTTAAACTTGTAGTGTAGATTTGTTGGGTACCTTAAGCTATGACCTCCAAATTCAAGTGCATCTCAGCGGAGACTGGGGACATTGAGTGTGAGTGGGCCATGTTCCTCTGCTCCATTTTTTAAGGTGGCTACTCTAAGCTGTGGCTGCAAGGCTGTTGGTGCCTCTTGTAGCAGCCATCCTCAAAACCAGTAGTGGACACTGCAAATAAAAGAGGCCTTCAAGCTAAAGGAGTCCTATCAGGTCCTGTTAGCTTGTAGGACTCCGGAGGCAGTTGAGGATTCATCGGTAGGCAAAGCAGGCTGCAGCCCTTTGCTGTTGCTGAAGCCAAAAGCTCATATGGGGAGGAGTTTGGTGAGGGCTTGGCTAGTCTTTGATTGGCTCCAAGAAGATTCTTGCAAGCCATTAAGTGACTGAAGCAGAAAAAAACATATCTTTACCAACAGTGTGTATAGTGGAGGTAGGGTGCTGTTGATCTCAAACAGCATTGTCATTGTCCTGCGGAAGTAATAAAGATCTTAATTTAACGCGATTTGAATTTAATTGAATGTATGCATGTATGTCCCAAAATGCAAATTGAAGTGTAAGGTCAGAAAAGGAAGTCAGAAAAACAGGAAACCCAGTTAACAGGAAAAATCCCATCCTGAATGCAAATATACAGTATAACACTAAATGTTTTAAATTACCTGTCAATATTTATAAAATCCAAGAACAGATATTCATAGTGTAAACTTCTATTAACACTGATCTAGTTGTCTGATGGGCGTTATTCTTGTTTTTGGAATGACTCCAAAAGTGATTCTTCCAGGCAACTTTTGTCTTTCTTCCCGCTAGCTAAAAAATCCTTMTATGCTTTAATGTGGTTCGTTTTCAGAAGTTTGATGCAGTTCTTTGTACTGCAGGTCATGATGGAGCTTCTGTCTCTCTGTAAACCAGCTTTGTAAACATTGCATGTTGATGTGTTTCTTTGCAGTATTTCTASTGTAAAATATTTTCACACATAGAACATGGTTAGCCATAGTTCTGCTCAATGCTTGCCTGCTAGCTGGCTGCAAACTGTATAATGGATTTCCTGAACAGAGCTATGTCTCATTACTCCATGTCTCATGAGACACATCTCTATTCAGGAAATGTATTACACAGTTAGTTGCAAWCTAGAAGAGCAGCTAGCAGTAAGTCACTTGTTGTGTAATTTCAGCAGACAACATTAAAGCACCAACATGGCTCATGGATTGGAAATTTCTGTAGGTTGGGTTAGAAATTTCCCATCGATAAATAATCAAAAGGAAAAATATTGTATAGGTCRTCTGGARGGGTTCTTCTTTAATGAAACGTTTCGTCTCTCTTCCAAGAGACTTCTTCAGTCTGAGAGTTTCAGGCAAAATTCAGGCTTTTGAGTCCTGCCTCCATGTGACTGATACTCACATCACATGGCTATCGTTCACACCTAATTAATACCTATTGTTAACAGGGGGTGGAGAGATACTGCCAATGGCAGCGCTGTAGCAGGGGGACAACTGAAAACGGAGGCCCCCACCTCTGTTTAATGATGGACGGTCTTTCTTCACAAAAATGGCTTCTTTTACTCCTCTCTCAAACCAACGTTCCTCTCTATCAAGAATGAGAACATCCTCATCTCTGAAAGAGTGACCGCTGGCCTGTAAATGAGTGAAAACTGCAGAGTTCTGGCCATTAGAWMTAGCTCGTCTGTGTTGGGACATTCTTTTGAACAGTGGTTGCTTTGTTTCCCCGATGTATAACTGGTCGCAGTCCTCCTGGCACTTAACAGCATATACAATATTGCTCTGTTTGTGCCGGGGCACCGGATCTTTGGGGTGAACCAGCCTTTGCCGTAATGTGTTTTGGGGTTTGAAAGCCACTGGGACATCATGTTTAGAAAATAAACATCTCAGTTTCTCCGAAACACCCGCAACATACGGAATAACCACTGGTTTGGGTCTGGGTTTGGGGTCTTCATTTTCACCTGAAGGTTGCATGGTAAATAAATAATGGATAAATAATGTTGGTATCAGAACCCAATACAGGTACTGGATTGGATCGGTCCCATTCCTAATACAAACTGGGCAAGAGTTAGGTTTGCATTGCCAGCAGCATGTTCATCCCAATTAGGGCTACCCATTGCCATAGTTAGTATTTATAACTTCTATGGACAGAATTTTTTGGTGCAGTCAGTGGAGCAATACGGTTCTGGTTCAGTGGCCTCAGCATTCCATCTTTGCTATTTGAATATGATGTGATCCTGTTAGTGTCATCATGTTTTGATCTCCAGCTCTCACTAGAACAGTAAGTGAAGGAGATTTAGTATTGTTTCTTTCCACAGTCTTGCTTACACTGTGCTGATCTATTTAGCTGAAGAGGAATTAGTTGGTGCAACCCTTACCTACGTCGCACACTCTGGGTAAAGACTGAAAGAGTGAGAGTCGGGCAGTTGAAATGAGTTTCTGTAAGGTAGAATCAGTGCACCATGGCCCATGCTTTCAGCTGCCTTCTATAGTACTTTGTACCTGATTAGTATAGCCCCTACTGCAGGTGGTGGGCCCACAGGAACCCACYTAGCTCATTCTGGCTCAGCCTGACCTGGCCCTATGAGTTGAGGCGCAGAGGCTTCAAGGTGGGAAGACAGATACCAAAGTCCGGGTGAGGGACATTAAGCTGTCTGCTGCCATCTGTTCAGTATTTTGGAACGCTCTTTGTCTAGCTTATCGACTAGGATCAAACTGCCTCGCTAGCTCGATAACTCCTACAATCATTCAGGCACACAAACCCTTCCTCTACAATAAGGTGATTTTTTTTTATGGAAGAATTATTTTACACAAAAATCTAATGAAAAAAAATCGTAAAATTCAGGCCATTTTTTTCATGAATGACTGTTTCCAAAAGATTTGGCCTTCCAAAATCAAATCAAATGCTGCAGCAGCAAAGAACTGCTGGAGTTTCACACCACAGTGTCTCAGTCAGCCATAAACAGGTCGTGGGCCACTACTAAAGCTTTATAGACTCTCACAGGGCACGCTAAGACCTCTGCCTTCACTCCCCACCTCCACCTCCTCTGCTCACCAGTCCTCAGTAAATTGTACCACTTCTTCTGTCATTTACGGCAGCAGTTTCTTGGTAAATAAATTGCCCCGTGTGCCTTTTAAAAAAGCAAGATGGTCACACTTTAAAGGCAGCGCCACCAGCCAAATGCAGAGGGATGAAAGCCAGAGGGGGAGCAGTGCCATATTAGTCGATATCTGATACTTTGAAGGCACCACAGTGTGATTTATGGTCACGTGTGGAAACTTCAGGGTTTATTACAGGTGAGTCTTGAATTCTATCTGTCTGTCCTCGCACAAGGTCAGGGTTAAAAGTGCACTTGCTGTTTTTCTTGTAATGCTCTTCCTTAAAAGTGATAAAAGCTGCTTTAAAACCGGACAGCTTTATCTGTTTGTTTTCTGTTTGTGTCACCATCTGTTGATGCTGATAAGTGTTTACTTGTTTGGGATGGTACTGTGTTAAGTGATATTTGATCCTGGCTTTTAGGATGACTGCATAGTTTTATTTTTGTATATTTTGCAAACATGCATCTGTTTGTGTCTGTCTATTAACAAAATACATATTTCATAACTGTTCTAAACACCCTTTAAAGCTAACTAATTTAAAGATGGCTACCACAACTAACTGAACCTAGCAAACAAAAACATTGGCTATAATTCAGTCAGGCTAATAGATATTGCTGTGATTGTAGCTAAGAGCAACTCACAACACACAACACACATTGTATAAAATACCTCAAAGTGATACCTGAGTAAAAATAAAAATAATTTAGTAAAAGTTAAAGTCTTCTCTAAAAGTATTACTTGAGTAAAAGTCTTAAAGTATTTGATATTTTTTGTACTTAAGTATCAAAAGTAAATTTCTGACACAAAATCTACTTAAGTATTAAAAGTAAAAGTACTGAGTAAAAGTGAGCTGTTAGATTTTCCAAAATGACATTTATTGGGAGGTGACTTCTCCAAAAAATATTTTTTCTAATGGCTTGCAGCTATGATGAGTTGTGTACAAGCCAATAGGGTGTCAGAATGGTATATATTTATACTTCTCATCCAACCACAATTAAATTCACTCTATCCAGGAGACACAATTTATCAGGATAGAATTTTTTAAGTAATAACAACTCAGAATAAAATAGGAGTAATGACTTTCTACTTCTTACCTTTTTAAAAAATGTAGTGAGTAGAAAGTACAGATAATTGTGTAAAAATGGAATGAGTAAAAGTAAAAAGTGTCCTGAAAAATAATAACTCAAGCAAAGTACAGATACCCAAAAATTCTACTTAAGTACAGTAACAAAGTATTTGTACTTAGTTACTTTACAACTCTGACAACACATACTCCTAGTGTTACTCATAATGCAAAATTTTCTTTTAAAGTCAACCCTATTTGTTGGTTTGCAAAATATCTTATTGAGCAGAATTTATTGAACTTCTTAGAACTTAATTTCTGGGTGTGCATCTAACACTGAATAAATTTTGGAGTCAAATCAATTTAAGATGGC